TAAATATTAGAAACAAATATTTTTGAAATAACATTTAAATAATATTAAAAAAATATTTCCTTTTGCTCTTAAATATTTGCTATTCATTGATCAATGAAAATTCATATAATATGTTCTAAAGTTTGTTCCCACTAATTAAAATAATATATTAGTAACTTTTTGCGTGTTAGTGGTGTTATATACAGACACAAAAAGTATTACGTACTAAGAAAACCTGTTATTATTTTATTTATTTCATGCTAGTTAAATATTAGAAACAAATATTTTAAAAATAATATCTAAGAAATACTTGCTTTTGATCTGAAATATTTAGCAAACATATAAATATTTCCTAAATATGTATGTAATATTTTGTGCTATCTGGGTTTATCGTGCCCTCTTGGCAGCAGTCAGAAAACATTGTAGAAGAGCACTTTTTCAATATCAAAAACCTTAATATTTAAAGCAAATAAGGTCATTTTCTTTTTGAACGGTTGCGCATTCCAATGGGCTACCAATCAAAAACGGGACCATTTCAAAATAGTACTTAACAACAAAGTTGCAATTCGCTTCCCAACAGTTGATAAATTTTCAAATTTTTTCTCGCACTCTCTAAGTGAGCCCCGCTAACCCCTTGGAAGTATTGACGCCAATTTTCAATCACCCTCTAGTATAATCACCATTCTGTAGCACATTGCGACGTTGGCCAGTAGAGCAAAAAATTGATCAACAAAGGTTTCACATTGTGCGCTCACTTCATACCCTCATCATCATTTAGATCCTATAGACCAGAACCCAAATCCTAAAACCCCTTAAACGAAAAATCTATTTCATTAACCGGTCGATGCTGCGTAGTGGTGACGGCAGTCCAGTGCCCTCCTCCAGAAAATCCTCGGCATGGTAAGGCCGTCTACACCTCCTGCTCATACAACTCAGTGGTGCGCTATGAGTGCAAGTACGGCTTCATCCTGCTGGGCGAAAGCACCCGAAGATGCGGCGCCGACAGAAAATGGAATGGCTTACAACCGGTGTGCAAAGGTGCGAGAGTCTCGGTTCCCCCTACTTCCTCCTATTGTGGGCTTTTGCAGAGATCAACTGCGGCCATCCGGGACGACTGTGGAACGGGTGGCTGGAGAACATTGAGGCAGGAACCGGCCTGGGGGCCTCCATCATCTTCCGGTGCCAGGAGGGGATGCTGTTGGAGGGCAACGCCTCCACAGTGTGTCAAAGCGATGAGACCTGGAGATACCCTCTCCCCAGATGCCTAGGTAGGGGCCCAAACTAAACCCCAACCGGGAGTTAAACCCCCCAATTTTCCAGCCCCCTGTGTGATTCCCCACGTGAGTAGAGGGCGGGTGATTCTCCTCTCGAAAAATTACACCGCCAACACCTCCACAGTGGTGGCCCATGGGGAAAAATTGGCAGTCGATTGCGACCCCAGCTATGAGTTTCTCTCAACTCACATGAACGTTACCTGCAACAACGGCACTTGGACGGAGATGCCCAGGTGCGACCCTGCAAAGTAAGCAAACCTCCCGCAGACAAACAGGAGTGTATCAAACCCAACTCCTCCTCCCCAACAGATGCCAACATCTGCCCAGAGCCCCCAGACATGGCATGGTCTCCGCCCCAGACATGAACCACGGCATGAAAGCCAAGTTCCGCTGCAAAGACGGCTACGAGCTGGTAGGCGAAGAGTTCGTGGAATGTTTCTTCGGGAACTGGACTGGGGAACTACCCCAATGCCACGAAGGTACCAGGGGGCGTCAGCCCCAAACTTTGTAACCAATGGGGGATCGTTTTCAGTGTTCTGCCCCTACCCGGGAGTGGTGGAGAAGGGCAAGATTCTCCTAGTAGGCAACATGGGGCTGTACGACTACAGATCCTACGTGAAACGGGTGGCCAACAACAAGCAAATCATGTACGACTGCGAAAAGGGCTTTGTGGTGACGGAGGGCCCTTTGGGGGCCACGTGCGTCGGAGGCAAATGGAGCCCGCATGAGTTACCAAAGTAGGTCTGCACGGGGCTTCAAAACAGCAAAGAGTGCCAGCGGAGGATTTTCGTCTTGCAGATGTTCTCCGGCGGAGCACCCGAAGGTGCGCTTCAATAGACGGAGGCGACGATCGATCGAGATCGAAGAACTGAAGAGAGCGTTCATCAGGAACCCACAAAGTCTATGCAAAAAATGGGAGAAGAGATACGACCGATTCGACATCCAAACGCGATTTCAGAAGTTGAAAAATATGGTGTTTGGGGGGCTTTCGACGCGCAAAAGGGACACCAACTGGGCAAGTCTCAATTATAAAGCCGTTCAACCGAGTGTTGAACGCCAGCAGTATTTATGCCAAGGGGATTCGCAACCGGATTTTCCCTTCAAAGCTCCGGCTGTAGGGAATTTGTCCGACTGGATCCAGTATTTGTCGTTGGAAAGCCTCGACCCAATGGACAGTGAAGTCGATAATGGCTGGAACGTTCCACACAGCCGCAAACCTCGAAACGCTTACTTTGACTGGCCAACTGGTCTCAATCAAAGATCAGAAACCCATTTCAGGCTCAAACGCGCCCTCAAAGGGGGCGGCTCCAGCAGGGCGGTCGGATCTATCCATAAAAGCTCTGGATCCCAAATAAGTCGCAGGTAATGTTGGTGGAGGTTGAAACTGAAAAACTGGTGCCAGTTTTAAGTAACTCTTTTGTGTCACCCTTAGACGCGACAACAAAGGACGAGCTGAAGAATTTGAAGAACTTCCCGATCCTGACAACGACTTGACGACGAAGAAACCCAAAGGGCCTCATAATAAAACCCGTGGAGGTCCATGCGAGCCGCTACAAGAGGAAATCTATGTTAACATTGAGTTTCTCAAACACGGTAAGATTGCGCTGGAGGGGTTTACATCTGCCATCCAAGGAAATTGCCCAATTTTCCAGGCAAAGACCAAAATTCCACTTATGGATCGGGCTCCGTAGTGCGCCTGGCTTGTGGCAAAGGCTACGTGTTGAACATGGCGGAGAATAAAACCGCCAAATGCGTCCGAGGAAAGTGGAAACCCAACAAGCCTATGTGCATTATCAGTAGGTTTCCCTACCGATCGCAAAGCAGAAGGGAGAATTTTCAAGTTTTCTTTCAGTCCCCTGCTATGTTCCTGAGAGTGTTTTTGGGGTCTACAAGCTGACCAAGCAGGAAAAGAACGATACCATCGATGTGGATTCACCTCTGAACGGGAGCACGCCGGTCCTGAATGGACAAGCGGTAGAATTCAGCTGCGAGGAGGGCTACCAAGTGCAAGGCTCGAGCAACATGCGGTGCTACCATGGAGAATGGCTGGTCACCACCTTTCCAGAATGTTCCCCTGGTATTATTTACAACCCACCGATCAAATCTTGGATTGAACACTCACTTCTTCATTTAGGAATGTTTTCC